ATACCACAAAGCGAGCTGTTATCCACGAATTCGGAATCACGATCAAATCTCCAACTCTAGCCTAATTCTCAAAAGAAATAACTCGTTTTTTTTCTGTATCTGTCTGTTTGTGTATCTGTATATTTGCGTATTTTTCTATATTTTTCTTTTCTTCTCAACTGAACGTGTTTTTATATAATCTTTTTGGTTGAGAGTAAGGTGCTAATTAAAAGGATAGTAATAGAGGTCGATTAGGATTTAATTTTGAAATATTGTTGAGGGGATTGGGGTTGAGATAAGGATGGATATAAAATAAATAAATAATAATAATAGAAAATTAAAAAAAAATAAAAAAATGAAATGAACGTCCAAAGAGAGAGAGAAGAAAAAGAAAAAAATAAAAAAAATAAATGAATGAGATTTTTAGTAAAATAAGTTAGGAAGTTAGGAATAATTAGGATAAGGGGAAGGTAATTTGAATATTTAGGACTCCCCTCTTTTTCTTCTTCTACCATTATTTTTAAACTAATTAAAAGTTGAAGACTTAAAACAAATACCATAAATTCATAATTTTTATCATTAAAGTAATTTACACAATTTATTTATTTTTTATTTATTTTAAATATATTCTTTTTTTAAAAATTGGTGTTTGACTCTTTATATTTTGGTAAAAAATTAGGTGTTCACAATGTTCACTATGGAAAGTACAAGGGGAAACCTACTTTCCAGATGCAACTAATTCTTACTTGTAAAGTACACATACTTGTCTATTTCTCTGTCTTCGAGTCATTCTCCATTCATGTGGGGGATTGTTGAGTTTTAAAAAGGTGTGAATGGAAACTGAAGAGTTGCAACTTTTATGAAGGTTGTGATAATTTTAACAATTTACTATTGTTATATGCTAAAAGATATCGTGTTTCTATGTTTTGTATGATTGTATTTTCACAATTTTGGACATTAAAATTAGGAAAAATTACTTGAATAAATATATTTTGAAAAATAATTATTGATTTTAGTGATACTTTTTGTTTATTACCATTTATTACAATATTGTGATAAATCTGTAATATGTATTAAAAGTGAATTATATATGCAATATATTTAAATTATAATTGTTTATGAAATATATTATGTTTGATTGGTAAAAATTGTAACATTGTATTATCAGTGCATTAAAATGTGTGATAAATGTATTATCCATCACTAAATTTTGTATTATATTTGAACAATAAATTTATCTTTGTAATATGTATTAAACTTGTATTATAAATGAATTAAAAATAGTCTAGTGAAAAAAAATGTTATTGCTATAAACGGTAAATACTTTTTTATTATATTAGATTTATGGAATTTTCCCTTTTAAAATTAACCTCTATTTTGCTTTTTATCTTTGCCTAGCCGATAATTTTTGTCCAATTCTCTATGCACATAGGCCCTTCTTTTCCCCTCTATTCCATGTTTAGTTTTATTGCATTTTTTCTAATTTCATGATCCTCTACCTCTTACTTTTAAATAGCAATTTAATTTCTCTTTAATTTGTGTCTTACAATTGGTTGTTTTCACAAAATAATGAATAATTTAAAATATTTTATCATGTATTTAAAATATTTTGGAAAAGAAACTATAAATAAAAATAATACAACATGTTTAACACTCTTAACTAATAAGAGCCTACAAACACACAATTCATGAAAACATGTTATATATTCAAAGATGGAAAAGTTATGTGAAAAATTCCCCATATTCAAGTTCCAAAGATTCTTCTTTCTAATCGATTTTATAACCATCAGCAAAATAATTGGCCCATTCTTTTATTTGCTTAAAACGACGAAAGTTTTTAATTGCATTTAAGCGTTATAATTTGCCTTTCTAAGCGTTTTTGCTGTACAATAAGTTTCTGTAACTATATTTCTTTTTATGACTTAATGGTAAGTCGATAATTAGATGGACATAACAACAATAAATTACTTAAAGATGAAATTTAAAATTAGATAATCAATTCATTTGACAGTATTACAAGATAGGTACATAGTACGTAGTACTAAATTTGTAATCAAATAACTAGTAGGAATACAATACAATACAACTTAACATTAATCAAGAGAAATCTAAGTAACGTGGAACGTTTGCGGGAATTCACTCGTCACCTTTTATCAAGTGTCTAACAGTAAAGTTTGATGCAATATTCGAATCTGTAGTGACTGATGCCCATGTCGCACGTCCCTTTGTTACAGAACCCGGCCCTCTATTCTTGTACCTCAAGTAATATGGACGACGGTTAACAACGGATTTATTTGCCTATTCAATCCACTCAACCCATCCTTTGGGATTTATCAACGTATCAATATAGTTTTCCATTATCACAGTCCTAGAAAATATACCCCATAGCCGACCTAAATATGTCGTGACGTTGTCCAATTTCTCCGAATCGCGGGTAGCCTTTATAGTGCAATTTTGAAGCACTATTCCCGATTCAAAGGGCTCAAATTCTCTCTATTGTGTTGTGATTGTGTTATATTGTCTCGCCGTTGGAGTACGTGCTTCAATCACACAATTTTGAACAAGGTTGTCCCATCACCGCAAATGAAATCTATCATGCCATATATTTCGCAATCTCGATAGAATTGGTGTTTCTTTTTAACATACAAAGTGTCTTGATACCTGTCGAATCGATATTTCTAAAAGGACGTCGAATCAGCTTCAACTCTTAACGCCTGATGCTTTATAGGTCCGACATTGTTTCTAAATGCTTGTGAAACCATCGCCAAGAACCCCTACAAATTAAATAAGAAGAAACAATTATAATTCATCAAAATTAATAAAAATTCACGTATATATGAAGAGAGGGACTTACCAAAGGTTTGGTATCATAAGTTTGTTACCAACGACAAAAATAATCTATTACATGTTATTATCATCGTACTATCCATCCCTTCTCCGATCAGGAATATATAAATCTTTTTTTTTTACTAACTCTAATATATTCTTGATACGTGCCTTTCTTAATTTTTATGAAGAATGGCTTGATACTGTGCCCAGGGGCTGCCAATATTGCTCCAACAATCATGTTGAAATTTCTAGTCTCATCTTTAGAAACTACCACGTTATATGGAGTTTCTATTATCAATTAGCTTTGAACACATACAATTATATTTGCAGCGAAAAACAACATCATTATATTCCCTGCATTAAAACAAATTAAATCTATGATGAATTTATACATAAAAAAAATTACAGCCATAGTTTAGAACTCGTTATTTTATCAACCCCTCGTGTCGAATACGATTTGTTATTTATTACTTTTGTCATTTTCACTTGAAAATCATGAACTTTTTCACCAACTTTTAAATCAAAGTTGTGTCACATGATTGTGACTATCAACAATATAACATACCCCTTTTATGTTATGATGATATTAATTCACCTATTTATAGGAAAATAAATTTGAAGTGTTCATGTTAGACTTTTACTAATATATATGTATTCTTCTTATTCTTTAGCAAAAACCTATTTATAGGAGACCATAATATATATACTATTTTGACTATTAGGCCCGTGGCAAGCACGGGCCTAATAGTCAAAATATCAGTATTAATGAATCATTGATGATAATTTTTGCAGAAGATGGATAATGTGATATGCTATATACTATTAGAGATATTCAAAATATATGTACAACTGATATTGGACATCAAGATGATCCATATTAATTAAGATAATAAAATCAAAATATTTTTTTTGACATATGAGATCAACATGTGATTGTTTATCATATCATATGTAGAGGATGCTGCTGTTCATTTTTAGTTGCTGATCTTCTTCATCATCCAAAAACCATAGCATAGGGAGTTGTTAGGGGTTCCTGAGAAAATTGTTAGTGTTATTAAATTTAGAAAGTTGAGTTGTTTAATGATAAAAGTGAAACCGTTGAAAAAGTATACATGACAAAAAAAATGTGCGATATAATATTAACAGCGAAGCTAAATAACGAAGGCTTCATAAAAATTTAATTGATTCATTTCCTTGGCAAAAAGTTAACTGATTCATTTCATTCTCCCTATTGAGCAAACTTGAATCGACTGAGAATCCAAAAACTTCATTAAGCAAAAGTCACAAAATCAAGTGAGGAAGTTCCTGTAATTAGACAAATTAAGGTAGGTTAAAAAATGAAAGTACAATATTCAAATTCATATCAGCCGGATCCTGTCATTGTCCTGTATGTAAATAGGCAATAACACATGAGATAATTGGCAGAAATAAAGTCAGGATCGTTAGCAATACATAAGTCGATTATACTGAAACAAAAAAAAAAATTTGCAAGTATGTAGAAGAAAACAACTGGACATAGTATTTTACTAAAATGAGGGTTGTCTTAAAGTAAATCTATATAGAACACATCAGTCAACATTTATGACTATAATATATACAAATATTGAACATCTTACTTCTGTCAAGGTTTGACATGAATGAAAAATTGTGTTCATTTCCATTATCTGTAAGCACCATATTTGACACAAACATAGCAAAGTTTTAAACAGTGGTGAACAAAAAATATTACGACAAAAGGATATAAGATGGTTTAGCAGAAGTACGCTTACATCCACAACAAGATAAAATACATTGACAAAAACTGATATATTGTCAAATACTCAATGAACTGTAATTATTGAGAAATATCATCTACCATGTCTGCTACATCAAAACACTAATTCTGAAGGCATCTATTGTTTACAAAAGACATGAATTTTTGGACTTTCAAAAACATCTCTCTTTTCTTTCTAACCAGATAGTCCGAAAGATGCAAACAGAGGCATGCTATACCTGATTTTCTTCAATTTTTTTTGACTTTCTTGTTTGTACAAATATTATTAGCAAGCCTCTCATACTATATGAAATCAAGAGGTTCTAAATTTGTTTTGTATGGCTACTTTGTAGTATACTTTCCTGTTGGATATTCTATTAGCATGTTATTAAGTGCATGCTTTTCACACTAACACACTAATATTGTTTGATAATATGTCTGAAAGAACTGGACACTATTAATTCTTCCTAATTTTTTCTTTTTTCCATCTTCATCCTCTGACATTTTGTTATGCTCTTTCTCTCTTCTTGGTTCATTTATGTCACTTTGCATCTATGAAATAGTTTTTTGTATGTAATTGTTTAATTTGTGCTTTTGTAAAGCCAAACATCCGAATTCAAAGTAAAAGATTCAATTAGCAATTAAAATCTATATCTAATGACTACAATTATAAAGAGAAGTCACATAAACTCTTAGACTATTACACAAGTTACTGTTAAGCTCAAGATATCAACCAGGCAGACCCAAGTCATTAATTTACTCAAAATGATCAAATAAAATAGAAACTGAAAGAAAGTTGGTAGTATTCATAATCATCACGGCCAACAAACTGCATTAAATGTAGATACTAATCTCAAAGAAATCACTCAAAACACTTGGTAACACGGGTTAAGTTTTGATACTTCTTATAACTAAGTTTGAAGGGAAGCACAAATATCGAAAGTGAAATGTGAAATTATTGTTGAAGGAGAGAAAACATGAAGATTCAAAAAAGCAAGTGATGCCTTTTAAAAGACTTTTGACAGAGGAAACACCACCCACCAAAGAAAATTCCATGATGCCTTTTAAGAGACTTTTGACAAACTTGTTGTACCTTAATGAATTTGAAATTGATTGTGAAGCACTTAGTTTGAAATAAATAAATAAATAAACAACTAAGAAAATCAGCCATCAAAATATTGTAAAATAAATTTGGGTTAAAGCATTAGTTAACATATGTCCTTAGTTCAACTTGATGTTTATTAACATGTCACTATCACCTAGTCACATTTAAGCTTAGTCTAATGGGAAGAAGTAAGCTTACTGAAAATATTACTCCTTTTTTTAAGATTCCATTACCCTTTCTTGCTCCCATACATTCTGTTGATGGGAAGTATAGTATCAATTAAGCATATCGATTATTTTTTACAAGTGTCTTATCAGTTTCATCAATGGCCAGCTATTGTGTCTTGTGTTAGATTTCCGCTTTTTCAAAGTCTTTATGTTGATGAATGAGAGTTGTAAAATTTATCAATTTTATTAGGAAACTACTAAATAAAAAATAATATCAAGAGGATAAACATCTACTCACCCTAAGTAGATAGTTCAACTTGATTAACATCTTCCAAGACAAACCCAGCTGTTGAAACTGATCAATTTTCATAACACATAAGTATTGTGTTCATTGGGGAATTTCGTCAAATACGTGACCACAATCATTATCTGCAAAAATATTATATGGGCCAAAACAATTAGTATTTAAGAACTTGATAGGTGATACTACAAAATAATGAGAAAAAAATCATGCATGAGCAGAATAATCAATTAACAGAACATTTGCATATCTATAAAGTGAGAGATCTCTGCCCTCCACTCTAATCTCTCTACAGTAAGAACAACACTGACAAACTTGGACTGAAGTCGATTGTTTTGTCCCCAAAAATAAGCCAAACTTTATCTGCACGTTCAACTATTTCCTCTTCTTCACCTTTTGAGTTTTAACCCCAAAATAAGTAGAAATACCATAACTATGTGCATGCAAGACTATTGAAATAGTGAAAATTTTGGATGCACTATGTTCATCAAGGGTCCAAAGTCATCTATGTATTTATTTCTATTTTCGAACATGCATGAGTAAATTAGATACAATTGATGATACATACATCTAAAATAGCTACTATTATAGGTCTGTTTTTCAAGTTTAGGACTATATAAGAGTAGAAAAATCATAAAAAAAAACTCACCGTAATACAACAGGTACGAAGAGGAATTGGAGGTCTAAACAGAGATTAAACACGATATCAGAATTTGATAAAGAGCAAATGAGCAAGGGTGAGAATAGATGCGGAGAACACTCTAGATTGTTGAAAGAAGGAAGAAGAAGAAAGTGGGAGAGAAAGGGAGAGTAAAGCAAAAGGTGAGATGTTTCATTTTTTACATTAAAAATAGTGTTGCACGTGCTTCTGCATAAAGCAGTACAGGCTATGCACTTTTGAAAGAAAAATATATGATTTTACTATTTTAACCCTACTTTTACAACTCAATTTATGTTTGATGTACAATTTACAATTCTTTTTGTACCACATTTTAATGCAGTGTTCGTCCTTATAAAATGTCCTTTCTAAATAGGGGGATATATATACATACATACATATATATATATATATATATATATATATATATATATATATATATATATATATATATATAAGTA